CCAGAAATTTTAAAAAGTTGTTTTCATTTTTATTCAGTTAAAAATACATTCTAATTTCCCTTTTGATTCCTCTTTGACCCATGGATTATTAGATGTGTGATATTTAGTTTCCAAATATTTGAGGATTTTCCAGTGGCCTTTCTGTTACTGATTTATAATTGAATTCCACTGTAGTCAGAGAATACACATTGTATTACTTGAATATTTTTAAAACATTTGAGACTTGTTCTATGGCCCAGAATATGGTTTATCTTGTTAGTGTTCCAAGTACACTTGAAAAAAATGAATATTCTAATGTGGTTGGGGTAAAGTGCCCTATAAAATTTAATAAGGTCAAGTTGGTTAATATTATTGTTCAAGTATTCTCCATCTTTACTGATTTTATGATGATTTGTTCTATCAATTATTGTGGATTTGCCAATTTCTCCTTGCAGTTCTATCAGTTTTTTTTTCCTTTGTGTATTTCTAAGCTCTCTTATTAAGTACATAAATATTTAGGAATCGTATGTCCTCTTAATGACTCCTTTATCACTATGAAATGATTTTTATCCCTGGTCATATTCTTTGTTTTGAAATACACCTTTTCTGCTACTAATATAAATACTACTGCTTTTTTTTTTTTAGGTTAGTATTAGCATGCTAAATTCTTTAGCTTTTTCTATCCACTTACCTATTTGTGTATCTTTATTTAAAGTGGCTACTTACAGGCAGCATATGGTTGAGGCTTGCTTTTTTATTCAAATCACAGTCTCTACCTTTTGGGGGGAATTGTGGGGGGTTTTAAGCTATTTATGTTTAATGTGCTATTGACATGATTGGCTTTAAACATATCATCTTACTTGCTTTCTATTTTTCCCATCTACTCTTTCTTTTCATTTTCTGTCTTCTCTTGGGTTAATTAATTTTTTTTATTATTCTAGTTTAGTCTGTTTGTTACCTTATTATAGTTGTGATTCATTGCTGTTACTTTATTGATTGGTTTAGACTTTACAGTATACACATTTAATTCAGCACAGTAGTGTACCTTCAAGTTACAGTATACATACAAACATATAGTTTGAGAATCATACAACATACTTCCATTTCTGTCCTCCCAGCTTTTGTGCTACTGTTGCCGTGCACTTGACACCTACATATAATACAAAATGCACAATACATTGCTTTTGTTTTGGGCTGTTAATAATTACCTTCGACAGAGATTTAAATCAACAGGAAAAAGTACTATTTATTCCTTTCTGTAGTGCAGGTTTTCATCTGGTGTTATGTTCTTTCTGCCCAAAGGACTTTTAGCATTTCTTGTAGTACGTTCTGTTGATGATAAATTCTGTCAGCTTTTGTATGTCTAAAAAACACTTTATTTTGTCTTTGTTTTTGAAAGATATTTTGCTAGGTGTAGAATTTCACACTGACTTTTTTTCCTTTCCGAACTTTAAACATGTTGCTCCATTTTATTCTCACTTCCGTTGTTTCTGAGAAGAAATCTGCTATCTTCCTTCTGTTGGTTCATCTGTATGTCGTATGTCTTTTTTCTCTGACTTCTAAATTTTATTATGTTCACTGATTTTGAGCAAGTTGATTATAATGTGTCTTGCTGTTGTTTTCTTCATGTTTCTTGTGCTTGAAGTTTGTTGAGCTTCTTGGATCTGTGGGCTTATAGGCGCCATCAAATTTGGAAATTTTCAAGGCTTTATTTCTTCACGTTCCTTCTCACATTCTCTTTCTACTGTCCTCTGGAAACTCCATTTCACCTGTATTTGGCTACTTGAAATTTACCACTGCTCCCTAAGGTGCTGTTAATTTTTTTATTCTTTTTTCCTTCTCTGTGTTTTAATTTGGGATATTTCTATTTCTGTGTCCTTAAGTTCGGTAATCTTTTTCTTTTGCAATGTTTAATTTGTATTTATTTCCATCCAATGTGTCTTACATTTCTGATACTATAATTTTCCCCTCTCAAAATTCAATTTGGGTCTTTCTGTGTATCACTCATGTCTCTACATAACATGTTGAGTCTTCCTTCTGACTTCCTGTATGTATGAAATCCAGGTCCAGTATCATTTCTGGGTTGCTATCAGTTGATTGACTTTTCTTTTTATCATGGGTCACTGGATGTCAGACAGTGAATTTTAATGTGTTGGGTGTTGGATATCTTTTTTCTTTTTTCTTTTTTTGTATTCCTATAAATATTCTTGAGGTTTGCTCTGGGATGGAGTTATGTTACTCTGAAACAAGTTGATCCATTCAGTTCTTGCTTTTATGCTTTGTTAGGAAAACCAGAGAAGTGCTAGTTCTTCCCCACTATTGAAGCAAGAGCCTTCTGGTTGCTCTACCTGACACCTCATAAATTATGATGTCTTCCACCCTGAGGGTGGGACTGGGCACTACTTCTCACTGGCTGTGGACTTCAGAGACTGTCCATCTGATCTTCCCGGTGGCCCTTTTCCTTCCTCAAGTCATTTCCTTGCACACAGGTGATGGTGAGTACTGCACTGAAGACTTGGGGGACACCTGCTACAGAGCCCCAGAGTTGTGTGTTAAACTCCCTCCTCCCCAGGAATTTTCCCTGAAGACTCTGGTCCTTGTGGTTCCCCAGACTCCCAGGTCTTATCTCCCAGCTCAGGGAGACACCCAGCTTTGTGTGGGTTCTCTCCCTGCACCGCAATCTGTAAACTCTCCAGACAGCAGACTTTCAGCAGTAAGTTCTCCAGGCAGTAGGCTGAGACAACCACAGGGCTAACCACTTTATGTTTCCCTTCTGTCAGAGATCACTGTGCTTTATTGTCTGATGTCCAGTCACTGGAAAGCCACTGGGTTTTGTTTTTGTGTTTTTTCCCCCCATTTTCAAATTACGTGAGACAGGAAGGTAAATCCAGTCCCTGTTGCCCTATCTTGGTGTGAAGCAGAACTCTCATTCTCCTTTTAGATTTTCTCTTATATAACACACTCACGGAAGGTGATAGTTGGTAGAGGTGAGTTAGCTGCTTTTTAAACACATGTTTTGTAGGTGAGGAAACTAAGGCCCAGGTAAGCGAAGTCCCTAAAACCACACAGTCAACACAGGGCGTAACATGATTTATGACTGTGATGTCTAGTTTTGTGCTGTTTCCAGTAGATGAGTGAATTTCAAACTGTGTCTCAGAGACCCTTAGGGTTCTCCCAGGGGAGATCAGTGCCTGGTACTCAGGCCCTGGGATGGGGGGCCAGGCAGGGAGTAGTCACCTACCTCAATTACAGCAGCTCATTTTCCCATTTTGTATATTGAAATGGGGCATGAGATGTGCTTCAAAAAAGCTTTTGGCTGCTTTAAAAAGAATCAAAACTTACTGCACTAGGCCATGCCGCCCTTTAATTGTTCTATTTATAAAATCTAATAGGAACCTTCCTTTTCACATCTATCTGTTTAGCAATTTGCTTTTCTTTGATAGAAAGGTTTACAAAATTATAACCTCTCCAGGAGGAATTAAGGATGCTAATCTTAATTCTCTGTGTTCTGACAAATTACATGCAGATAAAAATCTGGTATCAGAATGACTTTTTAAAGCACTTATCTTGGTCTGAGTTTTCCCTGGAGAGCTCCAGGCCACGCCTTTCCCCTTGAGGTGATCACTTGTCTTCCAAAATATTCGGGGAGCCCTTGGGAGAAATTGCATGTGCCTAAGAGGGTCTGAGGTAATAGACTGGTGTCTCTTTCATCCATGCCAGCTCTGCTTCACTATAATGAATACACCTCGCCTCTTAGGTCACCACCACCCCAACTGCAGCAAAATAAATTTCCCAACCCTTCTTGAAAGCTAAAGGTGAGAAAAGGAGAAAAAGGGAGCTGCGTTTAAGTGTAGCAAAGGTGCTCAATAGTAAGGAAAGTAGTATTATTTCCATTTATTCAGCTTCCGATGTGCTGATTCTGTTTTCCCTAAAAGCGCACTTACATATATTCTCTCCTTCCATCTTCTCCATTATCCAGTGAGATGGGAACGGCCATCGTCTCCATTTTACAGATCAAGAAAGGGAGTCCCACAGAGGTTATGTGACTTGCCCCAGATCACCCAGGTCCTAAGGAAAGGACTCAAGAAATCTGGCTCCAGACTCTGTTCTCTTAATGGCCCGGTGAGGACAGGCTGCAGTGTCCTGGGAGTGGGCGCCGGTGCTCAGGGCTGGTGTGAAGGACTAAGTGTGGTCGGGGAACTGCGTTACGAGGCAGAGCAGCTGTGTGGGAAGGCACAAAAGGAGTGGGACGTGGCAGCGGACATGCCTGTTTTACGGTGGGCTGGTGCCTGTTCGCCTGTCACAGCCTTCACACTCTCTCCTCACTTACGTCCCAAATGCTGTATTTTTCTCCTGAGTCTTCATGGTTTCCAGCCTCTCTTGCTGCCCTTGCAGCATTTGCATATTCTTAATGTATCCCAATTAAATATTATTACTAGAAAGAGTTATAGTATATAAAGATAAAACCAGATGATTTTGTGCTTTAAAAAAATTATATTTCTCATCTTTACCTAGACTTTAATATAGGTAGCTATTTTTTCCAAAAGTAATGATGTATTAGTTAATACTGGCTGATTTAGTTAATATGAGTGGTATTTTATGCTGTGTGTGTGTGTGTGTGTGTGTGTGTATACTTGACATTTTTTAGAATTAAGAAAATTGAAACTAAAATTCCCAAATACATGAGCTTTGGGCTTCATTGAAACCTTTTCACGAGAGGTCAAGGCTAGTGGGTGGGATTGGGGAGGGAGAGAGGGGTTGAGCAGTCCCTTGGAGAGCCCTGTTTTTACTAGGCCCCAGCTTGGGACCCCTTCCTTCCCCATGGCAGGACATCTGGCTTTGGACTTCGCCTTCTCGCCACTGCCGGGCAGTGGAGGCGATGGGCCAGGAGGGCCAGAGCCAGGCTGGGTTGATCCTTGGACCTGGCTGAGCTTCCAAGGGTCTCCCGGTGGGTCAGGAATCGGGCCGGGGTTGTGCCGGGGGCCGAGGTGTGGGGGCTTCCCCCGTGACCCCCACCCTGTGACTTCTGCGGAGGGATGGCCTACTGTGGACCTCAGGTCGGTGTGGGGCTGGTGCCCCAAGGCGGCCTGGAGCTCCCTCAGCCCGAGGCCACGGTGGGAGCCGGGGTGGAGGGCAGCTCCGAGGGGGCCTCCCTGAGCCCTGCGCCGCCCCGGCTGGCGCCGGGAAGCTGGACAAGGAGAAGCAGGCGCCAAGCCCTGAGGAGTCCCAGGACATCAGAGCTCTTCAGAAAGACCTGGCACAATTTGCCAAGCTTCTGAAGCAGAAGAGGATCACCCTGGGATACACCAGGCCGATGTGGGGCTCACCCTAGGGGCTCTCTTTGGGAAAGTGTTCAGCCAAATGACCACCTGCCGTTTTGAGGCTCTGCAGCTCAGTTTCAAGAACGTGTGCAAGCTGCGGCCCTTGCTGCAGAGGTGGGTGGAGGAAGCCGACAACGACGAGAATCTACAGGAGGTACGCAAAGCAGAGACCCTCGTGCGGGCCCGGGAGAGAAAGCCAACGAGTATCGAGAACCGAGTGAGAGGCAACCTGCTGAGCATGCTCCTGCAGTGCCCCAAACCCACCCTGCAGCAGATCAGCCACATCGCCCAGCAGCTCGGGCTTGAGAAGGATGTGGTCCGAGTGTGCTTCTGCAACCGTCGCCAGAAGGGCAAACGATCAAGCAGTGACTATTCGCAACAAGAGGATTTTGAGGCTCCTGGGTCGCCTTTCTCAGGGGCACCAGTATCCTTTCCTCTGGCACCAGGGCCCCACTTTAGTACCCCGGGCTACGGGGGCCCTCACTTCACCACACTGTACTTCCTGGTCCCATTCCCTGAGGGTGAGGCCTTTCCCTCGGTGTCTGTCACCACTCTGGGCTCTCCCATGCATTCAAACTGAGGTGCCTGCCCTTCCCAGGAATGGGGTGGAGGGCAGAGGAAGGGGAGTGCTAGGGAGAGAACCCTGGGCTTTGTACCAGGGCTTTGGGATTAAGTTCTTCAGTCACTAAGAAAGGAATTGGGAACACAAAGGGTGTGGGGCAGGGCGTTTGGGGTGACTGATTGGAGGGAAGGTGAAGTTCAATGATGCTCTTGATTTTAATCCCCACATCGCTAATCACTTTGTGCTTAAATAAAGAAGCCTGGGACCCGGTAGATGGGGAAAAAAAAAAAGAACCTTTTCACTAATCTGTAACAGGTTCCTAGGTCTACATGAGCTATATTCCAAAATTCCAAGATCTTTGTAACAATCACCTTTCATATATATTATTTTTACTTTTAAAAACATCTCCCACCACCAAGGGGCATACGTCTAGGTACTATAAATAGCATTAATTATGACATTATAAAAGGGGAAGTCCCTAATAAAAGAAATTAAATTGAAAATTGAAGTTAAACCTGGAAACTTGGGACAAAAATCTCAGGCCTCTTAGCATATCATGAATAATACTGTCCTTTCTTAAAGTCATATGACTTCTTATGAGTCAGAACTCTCATATCTTCTTACCCAATATTATGGTATTAGGGACCCCCCCCCAGTTATTCCTGGGCCACATTAATGTACTGTGGTCCATTACAGCAGCATTCCCAAAGTGTGGTCCACAGTCCACCCATCTAGAAGGAATATGGGGCTTGTTTAAAAATACGGAGGTTGCTGGGCCATAACCTAAATCGACTGACACAGAGTCTCCATGGGTAATAACCCAGGAAACTGTATTTGAACCAAGCTCCTAAGTGAGGGGGAAGCACACAGAAGTTTGAGAACCACTGAGCCACCAGAGTTTCCATGGCAAGAGTGCCAGACCATCACTGACATCTGTCACCCCCTGATGCTCCAAAGTCAGCCTCTTCAAAGGAAAAGATTAGAGAACCCTAGAGATGATGGCTGTACTGCACAGAAAGCTGAATCCACCCAAAAAAGAGTGCACACTCAGAATGCTCCAGTGAGTGATGGCATGCTGAGCAGGGAGAGTGTGGCTCTGGTCTGCGTGCAGTTAGCACCAGCAGGCATTGGTGGTGCTCCACTCTGCAGCCCCCCTGCAGGCGTGCAGACAGTCTCAGAGACAAGACAAGGAGGAGGACTTTCTGCTAATCCTCTAAAAACATAATTTCCTCTAGCTGAAAGAAGACCGAATTTGTGTGTTACCTACTTCACAATACTATCTTCAAAGCCGGAAGCTTTGAAAACAAGAATATAAGATCTGACCCAGAATGCCAACCCCTGGCCAATGCAATTAATTTAATTGCTCTTGAAAGGATATCAAAGTATATGTTGCAAGATTGTCCCCTAGAAGAGTGCTTCTTGACCCTTCTTCCTGTCAGCAGAAAAACATGCAATGTTTGTTGATGGAAAAAACTGCTTGTGGCCAGGAGGTGATGTGTCTGGGGCCCTTCCTTGCCCTCACCTGGAGGGCTAAGGACTTGCTATTCAAAGTGAGGTCCCAGACCCTGGGCAGCACAGGGGTGCTTGTGAGAAATGCACAACCTCAGACCCTCTGTCACCCCTGCTGGATCAGCACCTGAATTGTAACAAGATCCCCAGATGATTCATACCCACAGTAAAGGTTGAGAAGCTCGGGAAGGCACACGCTCTGACGCAAACTTAGAAAAAAGAATCAAACAATTCTGAAAGATTTCTTCCATGACTGCCTTTATTAGCTATTCAAATTTGATACAGTTTTAACATTTTCTACAAAGTTGACTTAGATGTAATTTTTATACCCTTATAAAACTTTTTATATGAATTGCTAAAATTCCTGATTTGAGATCAGAACATGTGGTCACCGTAACTTTTCTAAGTTCTTCTTAGGTATTTCATATATTTATTCCAAGCTGCCGTTAACCAAGAAAATCCTTAAGTCTTCCACCCTCAGTATAAAGTAATCTTTTATTTTCCCTAACGTTGCTGACTTCATAGTGGAGAGGACACCCTTTTGTCCTAATATCCTGGAATTTGAAGAACTAGTTCATACTACGTGTATGCTTAATTAATTCATTAAGTGTAGATGCTAAATTTTATAGTTACTTTTCAGGTGATCATAAATATAAAAAATCACTTTCCATCAGCCAGTTACTCTTCCGCTCCATTAAACTGTGTAGCACACCACAGCATCCACTATAATTGTGCTTATCTGCTACAAATGTATATAATTGTATTCATTCTCCACAACTGTTTCCAAGGAGACAAATTACTATTATTATTCATTCAGCTGAATCTCTTCCTAACCCTCAGGATTTTCATGTGCAGATAGGCTGTTTCTATTTTATTTTTAAGACTTTATACTCCACAAGTGGCTTCAGCCTATTTTTTTTTAAATGATGACACCAGTTTCTAATTTATTCCAGATACGGTTTCCTAATTTATTTTCCATGCCAATTTCTAGCTTATTCTAGGGAATATGTTATTTTACATACCATTTCAGACATTGGTCACAAATTATATAGTATTTATCCAGCTCCTGAAAAATTTGTGAATGGGCAATTTGAACATGAAACTTTTTTTTAGAATCCTGGACCTATTAGAATGGGGTCTATTACAACTGGTGCTTCTGTGAGCATTCCTGACGTGATTTTTTGGTGGACATAAGCACTGATTGGGTGTATGCTGAGGAGAAATGCTAGCTCAAAGGGTACATATATGATTGATTTTAGTAATTGTTAAATCAAGTTATGTACTTTTACTCCACTGACATCATGCCAGATGGAAGTTCAAATGTAAAACTTGGAAAAATATTTTTATTCAGAATTTTAATCAATTATCTGACTTTCCCTTTCAGTTTATCATTTAAATTTATTTAAAGATTTTACTGTGAGAAATTATTTTTTGGTTTCTACCTGAAGTTAATCTGGAAATGGGCCAGGTTTTTATAGAATCTTTTAAAAGATAATTTCTTATGCATTTGAATTCCCCTCTTAATAAATTACTGCTTCAAATGGTAGAAGACTGATAACTATTTGCAAAAAGAGGTGATTCCATCCTACTTCATCCTGATATATTGGTTATTAATTTATTGAAATCAGAGGAAAATATGCATTGCTAATTGGAGGCAAAACCTCTTAAAAAGTGTAGTCAGGAATGACCACGTATGCTTAGCGCTAGTCCAGGAAATGACTCCCCCTTCGAAAGGGTACTCCTTTTTCACAGAAATAGAATAAAGGTAGGGTATACAGATTCTGCACACAGGCAGGACCTGGCCTTCTTCTCACCAATCCCAGAATTCAGGAGGAGAGGGTAACACCAAGAGTTTCATACTCCTTTTAGGCACTATTAGAAGGATCTTGTCGAAAACAAGTACATGGACAAAATAATTACCAGTTTGCCGAATGCTATGAAGGAAACAAACTGGGCTGCGTGGAGAGTCACAGAGGGATAACCTACTTTAGACCAGGAAGTCATAGAAAGCATCTTGGAGCAGGTGCAGCTCAGCAAGACACACAGAATGAAGAGAGAAGGATTTACAGACAGAAAGTATGTGCAGAGGGCACAAGCTGGGATGTGCGTAGAGATTCTGAGGACCTGTGAGAAGAGCAGGGCAGCTGAGGCTGCGAGAGGGGATGGAGAGTGACACAGATGTGTCAGGAGAGCTGGATGGGGGCTGCATGGCATGGGGACTGCCAGGCCAGAGAAAGAATTGGGATTTTATTCTGGTGTACTGAGAAGCCATCAAAAACATGTCATGAGAACAGTGACATGACTCCCATTTGTGGCTCTAGAAGACCTCTCTTGGAGGCATGCTGGGAGCTGGCCAGAGAGTGGAAGCAAAGAGCCCGCTAGCGCTGGTGAGCTGGTCAGTGCATGAGAGCATGGCGGCCCGGACAGGGCTTCGCTGCAGATTGGATGAGAAACTAAGGGAATAGGAAGAACTAGGGATCCATTCACAAACATCTTCCCCTGCTAGAAAGAGGGAAACAGCCATAGTCATGATCATAGTGCTGGCATGCCCATTCTCATCTTAAATTTCACCAAATAATTTGGAGTTACCTGTTAAAAGAATAGTTAGCAAATATTAGACTATTAGGCTCAATAATAAGAGACTACAGTGCTTTTCTTAGACTAATAATTGGTTAATATAAATAGTTGTATGTGTTTTGTAAAATACATACTATAGGATAATCTCTTCTTCAAAAAGCAGCCGGTTACCGAGCGTTTGCCACTGGGCTGGGTGCTTTATTCCTTCTCTCACTGTATTCACAGTCACCTTGGGATGTAGGCTTTACTGTCCCCATCTTAAAGATGAGGAAGCTTCGGTCCAATAGTCTCAGTGATGTGCCCAGTGCCCCGCAGATACAATGCAGGATCCATCAGGATTTGATGAATTGCAAACAGCACAAACAACTTGAAGAAGCTGAGGCACCAAACAGGATACATGGACGTTGGACAGATCTCACGAGCCAGAAAGCAGAGCCCTCAGAAGATGTTGGAGAAAGGCCCCTGGCATTTTTTTTTTTTTAGCATCTTTTCTTTCATCTGCTCTCTCTCCTCCTTTCTATATCTGTTTCATTTTATTCTTTCTCAGATTCGGCTCCGTTTCTCCACATTTGTCTCCATTGTTGCCGTGAGGTTTACTCTCCGGTCACCCAGGGAGGTCACATATTATTTTCACTTTCAATTCAAACATCTCAGGGAAGGGAATCTGATTGGCCCAGTCTGGGAAAAGTACTCATCCTTAGGCCAGTCAACTGTGGACAAGAAAGCAGTGTGGTGTCTTAAAAATGGCTCCCAAGGCTGCCGCTGGGGGTGAGGGACAAGGACAGTTAGAAGCATTCCTGGTGAGCTGGGAAGATACTTGTAAAGGTGCATACTCATGTGACAAGCCATGATTTAGAGTTCTGGACCAACCAACATGAGAAATTGTTAGGTCAACTGACACTCACTGTCTTTTATTATCATGCTGTTATTGG